TAACTTACAAATCATAGTTTAATTTTAAAATCATGCTAAACATAAAACAAAAAATAAAAAAGAAATCTAGTGAAATGAGTTTTATTTCTGTAGTAGAAAGAAAATATTGTTTTAACTGAGGTACGGTATGACTTGGATATATATTAGGTACGTCTCAGTACGCCAAAAATTAAGAAGAAAAAAACATGAGTACGTGTTTCGTATATTCGGATGCAGAAGTACCATACGAGGTACGGTATGCCGGTAAGTACCCGGTATGGGTACGGCATGTTTTTCGAAGTATCCCATGCTTCATAGCCTTAGATTACTCCAAAAAGTCTCAAAATCAAATAAAGAGTACTGTCTAACTTTCATCCCTTGAAGAGAAAAATATGGTATTATCCGCATATTGTAATTGTAAGTATGTCACACTAATTTTGTCCCTCCCCATCTCTAGTTCCGCAAAAAGACCTACTTCTCTAGCTCTATCGACCATCCTTTCCAGTACGTCAGCCACCAAAATAAAAAGAAAAAGAGGATAGTGAATCCCCTTGTTGTAACCCTTGTGAAGACCTAAAGCAGTTCCCTAGTTTACCATTAACTAGAATTGACATATTGCAAGTCGACAAACATCCCCCTAATCCAAGATCGCCACCGCTCATCATAACTCTTCTTGTCCATTACAAAATCCAAAAACTGCCAATTCATGTGGTCATATGCCTTCTTGAATTTCATCTTAAAAATAAGCCCCTCTTATCCTAGACTCCTATATTCTTCCACTACTTCATTTGCCACTAAGGCTACATCTAAGATTTGTCTTCTTTTCACAAAAACTCCTTGTGTCATAGACACAGTCTCTCCCAAAGAAGTCCTTAGTCGCTTTGATAAAGTGATGTGACTAAGCTAATGGGCCTAAAATCTCCTATTCTTACAGCATTCACTTTCTTAGGGATTAAACAGATGAAAGTGGCATTTGAGCTCAAATTAACAATCCCCGACTCGTGAAATTCTGAAAAAACTCTCAACAAATCCCCTTTCACCACCTCTTAACAATCTTGAAAAACGGCCATAGAAAAGCCGTCGGGACCTAGAGCTTTGTCCCTTTCACAATCGAAGACTGCTTCTTGATTTTCCATTTCATCAAATGGCCTTTCAAGCCACGCTGCAATTGCCTGATCAATGGGTCCCCATTGAAGTCCTACAATCCCCAGTCTATTCACCTTCTCCAAATAAAGTTTAGAATAAAAGTCATAAATTCCACTGACAATCTGATTCTTCCTCTCCCCAACTATTCCTGGGTTGTTTGAGGCTTTGTTGGTTTTGCATGTGATGGATGGTCATGCAATGTCATCCATAGATCATTGATGGCCTGTGAGCTTTGTTCCACAACTTGTTTGGCAAATCTCTTTGATTGTTATGATGAAGACCTAAGTTTAGGAATTTTATGCAGGTTGGTCACAGCCTTCACCAACTTGCCTTGCAAATAAGATTTAAATTCCCACACCCTGTAGGCAGATTATGTCTCATCTTTTTCGCATGGTTTCTGGACAATAAAATCTGCTATCAGCTTGAACCTACAAGGAAAAATGCTCTTTTCAGATTAGGTGGACTAGTATTCATGATTCGGTGTTTCTTTACTTTCGATGATGTATGGATCTTGGAGATGAATTACATGTGGTGGTATGAAATTTTGCATGCTACATTGGCTCTGTAGGTTTGATATTTTTAGACATCCCCTCTAATTTTGATGTATATATTTCTGGTTTTGAAAGTATCCTGCAGGATTTGAAATTATTTTTTGTGATCTGTGTTTGCTAAATTATCTGAAACTATTGTTGGAATAAGGTCCAAACTGTAGAGGAACAAGTTAGAGCTTCAGCTGAACACAAACTGGGAGTCGCAAATCAGAGCATTACTGCTGGATTCTTTGACAATAACACAAGGTTTGTTTGAGTATTTTCCAAGCTAGAGCTTGGTCCATCAGTTGCAAATTATACTTGGATTTTGCCAAATAATCTTCTGTTTGCCTGGTTACAGTGCGGAGGATCGGAGAGAATACTTGGAGTCCCTCCTGCGGGAGTGTAAGAAAGAGGAAGCTGCACCTGTTTTAGATGATGATGCTCTGAATGATCTCATAGCACGCAGGTAGATATTTTTTGACTCTTATACCAAGTATCTTATTGCCTTCAGTTGATGGTTATCATAAGCACACTGAACTAGGGGACCTGCAGAAGTCATTTTTTGATGTTTGTATTGTATGTCTGTGAAGTGGTACTAGTGTGGTTGAGAGTATAGCTGTGACATTATTTTGTAGTTCTAAATTCTTGGATAGATGAATGCAGCTCTGATATTAATTTTATCATATTAATCCAATTTAAACTGCAATTTCTTTTGCCCAATAACTTGGGGTTTGATACACCAATGACATCCTATGAAGTATAGACACCTCTCCGGAAGGTCATGGTGTCTGGATACATGTTGGAGGAAGTACCCCATTTTATTTAGTCAGGCCTCGGTTGGGAACCCTCATTTTTAGTCAAAAAGTTACTAAATTAGCCAAAAAGCCAACAACCTATATCAAAAAGTCAAAGATTCTCTTTTCTCTCTATTTTTTGCACATCTTTTCATAAAAAGCCAAAAAGTCATCCCAAACATACTAGTTTTTTTTAGCTCATATTTTAGCCAAATAGCCAAAATATTACTAAATTAACCTGTTCTCAAATGAGGCCTCAGACACGCTAGGGACACACGTTGGACGAGTGGTGTCCCATTTTTTAAAATTAATATAGATATATATATATATATATGTATTTTAACCGGAGTAGCGTACTTAAGGTTGATGAATTTGATTAGAAGAAATATTTGACATAGAATATATATAATATTAAAATATAATACTCCCTCCGTCCCAAAATATTAGTCTCTTATTCCATTTTTCATTGTCCCAAAATATTAGTCCCTCTTCAAAAATCAAGTACAAAAATAATATAAATTTCCTATTTTGCCCTTCTCTTAAATTAATAAACAATACAAAAAGTACAATTATAACATTGATATTCTTAAAAAATGTACTATCAAAAGGATAATTTTGAAAAATCAACCTTTTTCAAATGCAATAATTGTACTACCAAAAAAAGTTGGATTCCCCAAAAGGGACCATTATTTTGGGACGGAGGGAGTAATTATTTAAATTGTTGTGTTTTGCACATTTCCGTAGGGTGTGGGGTCCTGCATCTTTATGAAATTTGTCTGTGTTGTGTTGTCTGTTTTTTAGATGAGAGTAGAACTGACAGCTTATGATTTTCTGCAATGTCAAGGCAGTATTTTGGTGGATAAGATTTTTTCGTGAATTTATTGAATCCCGTGTCATGTTTACAGCATGCTGTTGTTACTCTTGTCTCGCTGTTTTGTTGTTGCCTAATTTTAACATTATAGTTTTCCTTGGTTGTGGTTTGGGTGAGTGGTCCCTGCTATTATCTGTTTCCTTTTATCAGTTTGAATACTCTCATGATTCCTCTATGTTTGCAGTGAGTCAGAGATTGATATATTTGAGTCAGTTGACAGACAAAGGCGGGAAGATGAGATGGTATATACTCAGTCTAATCTCTTTGCTTTTGGGCTTCATTACTATCAATGGAAAATGTATTACTGTTTCTTTATTTGTGACTTATTATAGATAGTCTATTCTACAGGCAATGTGGAAAACGGTATTAGGACAGGGGAAAGATGGTTCTGAACCTATACCTCCCTTGCCTTCTTCTCGGCTCCTAACATTTGATGAGTTGAAGCCATTTTACGAAGCAATGAAAATATCTGATGTATCCAATCCCAGGGTGGTGTCTACCGTTGGGGCAAAACGGAAGGGCGAGTCTCTTGGAGGCCTGGATACACGACATTATGGAAGGGGCAAACGAGCAAGAGAGGTTGGGTTACTTCATATATTTTTTTAGGCTGATCTAGTGTTCACTGCAACAGGGCATACACACATTTGAGTGTATAATGTGTGCATTTGTATTGTACATACATAATAATTTTTTATCCTCTCTTCCATAGGTGCGCTCCTATGAAGAGCAATGGACAGAGGAGGAATTTGAGAAGATGTGTCAAGCAGACTCTCCTTCTGAATCCCCCAAACTGAAGGAAGAAGTAATAGAAAGGAACTCACCAATAGTTGCCAGTGGGTCTATCGCAATCACTCCTAAAACAGAACCACCAGCACCAGCACTGGCACCGGCACCGGCACCGGCACCGGCACCACCCATAGTCTTTCAACAACCTTCTGTAGAGCCGCCAATGCAGCAAACCAAAGAGGCAACAGCAACAGCAACAGCAACGGCAACACCAATGCCAACACCAACACCAACAGCAACACCGACCCCAACACCACCAATTAGACGGGGCCGCGGAAGGCCAAAGAGAGTAACCACAGAAATCTCTCCGTCTGCAATGGTTCGTCCAGCTCCTTATGGAACCAGCATAACAGACATAGCATCCCAGAAAGGAACAGATTCTAGCTATCCTGTGGCATCTAGTTCTAATTCATTGCCTAGTTCTGCAACTGTAAAACCTGTTACTGGAGCCAGCCCTCAATTTGGTGTATGGATTGCTCCCAGCTCTGAGTCAACCCCTCCTCTCCCTTCTGTTTCTCCTGGTGCTCAGCCAACCCCTCCTCTCCCTTCTGTTTCTCCTGGGGCTCCTCTCCCTCCTCTCCCTTCTGTTTCTTTTGGTTCTCAGTCAACCCTTCCTCTTCCTTCTGTTTCTCCTGGTGCTCAGTCCACTCCTACTCCAACTACTCCTTCCCCTTCTGTAGTGATGCTAACAGGACAAACTCAAAAAACTCCAGCACCACGGCGTAGAGGAAAGAAGCAGGCTCCATTGCCACCTGCTGTTCCACTTTCCCCAGCATCTGGAACTGTGAAGACAGACATGATATTACACACACAAACAATTTCCAGTTTGCCAACAGCCTCTTGTCCTGATTCTGTATCTGGTTCTGCTACCGTAAAGGGTGTATCTAATGAACAATGTGTGGTTTCTCCTGTTGTTCCAGTTCTTCCAGCTTCTTCTGAAACTGGCAAAATGGATTTGGGGTCAGAGGTACGACCAGTTTCTAGCAATCCCATGCTCACTGATCCTGAAAATGTTTCTGCTACTGCTATTGTAACAGGTGTTAGTGGAACTGTGCATAATTTTGGGACAGGGATTGAGCCTAGTTCTCAGCCAAACCAGCCATTCGCTTCTAATGCTATTGGGTCTCAATCTATCCCTCCCAGTCTTTCTGTGCCCAAGTTACCTAAAAGACGAGGTCGTAAGCCACAAAGTGGAGTAGAGGCACCCCGTTGCAGGGGAAGGAGACAAGGTCCGATAGCACCTGTTGCTGCACATGGTTTAGCAGGTCAGGATCCAAAGTCAAATGAACAATCAGATAGTAAATTGCAGGTATCATCAGGGAGAAAATCCATTGTTACTAGAAGAATGAAAGAGATTGAAGCTACAGAGCTGTCTAATGTTATCCAGGTGCAGACATCTGAAGTCCAGACCTCTGATAGTCTAGCTGGTCCGGATGCAAAACCAACCGGGCAATCAGATTATTTGGCCCAAAACAATCAGCAAAAGGGCTCGTCAACAACTAGTGGCAGTGCTGTCATATCCTCAGATAAGATTGGCAGTCAGACTGAGAAAATAGATGCAAAAGCAAAAGAGATGAAAATTCCTGTTCTAGAGGAAGCCTTTGTTTCAGAGTCTGTGGTGGCTAGTGTGGAGGAGAGAGTTTTTGTTTCAACATTGGGAACAGTAGCTGCAGTTGTTGATCCAGAAATCCAAAAGACAGAGAAGGATGTTGATCCTGAAATCCAAAAGACTGAGAAGGATATTTCTGCAGAAACACAAGAGAGAAATGATCCTATTCTGCAAGATGCTGTTGTTTCGAAGCCTGAGGTTTGTGAAGTTGGAACCAATCTCAATACTGGTTCATTTGTAAATGTGGAGGATTCAAGAGATCTAGTCGAAAAAAATTCGATAGTGCAGATTGATGTTGAGGGCACTTCAGCTGTTACTGTGAATGCTGAATCCATGAATGATGTGCCTTGTGAGAAACCTACTGCTCCTGATGCTTTTGTTTTGGAAATGGAAGCTTCAGTTTTGGATGTTACAACTGACAAGTGTGAGGATCAATCGGTGAAGGAAGATGCTGAAGAACAAGAACTGAAAGGTTCTGATCTAGATGATATAGTTGTTTCAGAGCCTGGGGATACTGACAGTTTGGAAGAGAAAAAGATTTCAACTTTGTCAATGTTGGAAACAGAAGCTCCAGTTGTTGATTCTGTAACTGAAAAGACTCCGGAGGAATTTGATGCAGAGGCACCAGAGAGCAATGATCCTATTTTGCAGGAGGTTGTTGCTTCAAAGTTTGAGGCTTCTGAACCTGAAACCAAGATCAATACTGGTTCTTTTGAAAATGTGGCAAATCCAATATATGTAGTCAAAGAAGGCTCGCTGGTGGGGGCTAATGTGGAGGGCACTTCAGATGTTCCTCTCAATGCTGACCCATTGGATGATGTGCCTTGCGAGAAAACTTCTGTCCCTGATGCTTTAGATTCGCACCTTACAATGAACAAGTGTGATGATCAATCTGGGAAGCAAGATGCAAAAGAACAAGAAATGGAATGTCTGGTTGTGGGAGATGCAGTTGTTTCAGAGCCCGGGCAGACTAAGAGTTTTGGGGAGGAAAAAATTTCTACTGCTTCTATGTTTGAAACAGAAGCTTCAGTTCCTGAAATTGAAAAGACAGAAGAGCAAGATGCAGAATCACAAGAGAGCAATGATCTTATTTTGCAGGATGCTCTTTTGAAACCTGAGGCATGCGAACCTGATACCAAGCTTGAGGCTGTGTCTCTAGAAAATGTGGCAAATCCAAGGGATGTAGCCAATGAAAACTTGATCATGGGCACTAATGTGGAGGAAACAACTGCTGTTACTCTCAATGCTGACCCATTGGAAGATGTGCTTTGTGAGAAACCTCCTGCTCCTGATGCTTCAGTTTTGGAAGTGGCGACGTCAGTTTTGGACTTTGTGATGGACTCTGAGGATCAATCTGGGAACGAAGATGGAAATGAACAAGAAATGAAAGATCCTGTTCTAGATGATGTGGTTGTTTCAGAGTCTGGGGCGACTAAGAGTTTGGAGGAGAAAATGCTTTCAACTTTGGAAACAGCAGCTGCAGTTGATCCTGAAATTGAGAAGACTGATGAGGAAGTTGATGCAGAAGCAATGGAGAGCAATGATGATCATATTTTGCAGAAACTTGAGGCTTGTGATCCCGAAACCAAGATCAATACTGATTCTTTTGAAAATATGGCAGATCTGAGATCTCTAGTCAAAGAAAACTCAATAGTGGACACTAATGTGGAGAGCAGTCCAGCTGCTCCTCTCAACGCTGATCCATTGGATGATGTGCCTTGTGAGAAACCTTCTTCTCCTGAGATTTCAAATTTGGAACTTACAATAGGTAAGGGTGAGGATCATGGGAAGGAGGACACAAATGAACAAAAATTGAAAGGTCCTCTTCTGGATGAAGTGATTGTTCCAGAGCTTGGGGTGTCTGAGACTATGAGTTTGGAGGAGAAAAAGTTTCCAATTTTGTCTACGTTGGAAAAAGCAGCTCCAGCTGTTGATCCTGAAACTGAAAAGCCTGAGAAGGAAGTTAATGCTGAAGCACAAGAAATCAATGATCCTATTTTGCAGGAGACTGTTGTTTCAAAGCCCGAGGCTTGTGAACCTGAAACCAAGCTTGAGACAGTGTCTTCAGAAAGTGTGACATATCCAAGAGATGTAGCCAAAGAAACTGTTCTTCTCAATGCTGACCCATCTGAGCATGTTCCCAATGAGAGACCTGCTCCTGATGCTTCAGTTCTGGAAACAGCTGCTTCAAATTTGGAAGTTACTAAGGACGAATGTGAGGATCAATCTGTGAAGGAAGATACAAAAGAAGAAGAAATGAAAGATACTACTCTGGATGAGGGGATTGTTTCAGAGCCTGTAGTGACTGAGATCCAAAGTTTGCAGAAGGAGAGGACAACTTCAACTTCAGAAACATTATCTTTCACTGTTGACCATTCACTTGAAAAGCCTGAAACCGACCTAAATGCTTCTGGTTCTTCTGAAAATGTAGGAGATTCAGAACAATTTTCTCTTAATCCCATTCTGAGTGATGATGGTCCTCGTGAAGAACCACCTAATGTAGATGCTTCTGTTGATAGTTCTTTACCGGGTAGTTCTAGCGTACAGATGGATTCGACTTTGACATCTGAAGAGGAGGCAAAGGAGTCTTCCTCTGCAGCGGCAGCAGAGAACAAGTCTATGCATACACAATGAGTGAATATTTCTATAATCTGTGAAGGTATGAGTTGCAATGTCAAAGTTCATCTATTTTATATTTTATTTTTGCTTAACTAAATATATTAAACGATATGCTTTCATTCATATGCATTCCTGATGCCCTTAGATTGGACTCACACTGTATTTCTTGCCGCCTTTGTAAATTGTGTAAACTCAATGCAACTGAAATGAATGAAGCTCTCATAGTCTTGTTAGTAAAAGCAACTAGTTGTGGCATTATCTCTAGATCTGTGGTGTTGTGAGCAGCGCTCAATGCACACCCTTGGCTTTGAAGTTTGAAAGGTGTTTTAATGTTAGGATCAAAGACTGCTGTTACTGTTGCACAATGCTTTAGCTGTCCCTGACATTGTCTGCAAAAATGAATTTGAAGTTTGAAAGGTGTTTTAAGACACAGTTAACTGTTTGCTGTTACTGTTGCACAATGCTTTAGCTGTCCCTGACATTGTCTGCAAAAATGAATTCATATAAATATGGTGAAATGAAATAATTTTGAAAGAGAACATGTATGCCAAAAAATTATATAAAAAAAATGATGATTTGTTTAGAGACTACTTTACAGACAACTCTCACTCTCTCTCTCTCCAACGCTCACTCTCTCACCTACAATTCTTCCCTGTGGAGAAGTTATTGGTAGGTTTAGAGACAAACGTGTATGCCAAAAAATTATATAAAAAAAATGATGATTTGTTTAGAGACTACTCTCTCTCCAACTCTCACTCTCTCTCTCTCCAACTCTCACTCTCTCACCTACAATTCTTCCCTGTGGAGAAGTTATTGGTAGGTTTAGAGACAACTTTACGTGGCACTTCATATGTATTATAATTAGTGAAAAAAGTGAAATTCATGATTTTGTGTTTGAGTGATTGAGAAATAGAGGGGGTATGATAGTTTGTGATTGGTCAGAGATACACTCGCGCCCTTGGATCAATCAATAATTTTTCCTCTATGGATGCATACATGCACACACATAATACACATCACAAGTCACATCCACACACACCCATATCATTTTTAATTTAAAAAAATTATTTTATTTTATTATATAAATACAATATGTATGATTTTTATAAAATTAATACATTTCCAAAAGATATCAATAAAATCTTTAGAATGAGATTAATATTTAACATATTTAACAAAAAAATTAGATTAATAACTTAAAATTTAAAGAAATCTACATAATTAAAATAATTTATATTATTTGAGTTAATATAAATAATATATTTTTTAAAAGTACTTTTTAAATGAAGTATATATTTTTTATTTTCTAAAAGAAAACATAGGCACTAATAAAAATATTAACTCAAATTATACAATTAAAATAAACAAAATAATATTCAAAACATACAAATATTAAAAAATATATTTTCATTCAAAAGGGAAGAATCATATGAAAATAAAAATGATATATATATATATATATATATATATTTACGAAAGTAGACAACTTAAAAATTCAACCAAATATTTTATATTTCAGCTTTAAAAATAGTTACAAAAATTAGTCGCATGCTATATTTTTATGCAACAGAGCTAAAACAGAACAAAGAATACATTTTCAAAGGATACTCATCCTTGCTACTTCTTCCTATCATAAAGATATTCAAGGAAGATGTAGATAGGCCTCATCCATCATTCAACAAGGAATGATATATGATATGTACAAAAGTTTAAAAAAAAAAATGACAGTTAACATATATGGAAAATTAAGCCAAGAAATACCAAACCAAAGAAATAGATGAAAATTTACATTCATCTCTTTGTAGATAAGATTAAACTAATACCCAAATCCATGCTATTAATTAGAGAGAACTGATTGCTACCATTTCAAGAGGAAAGCCTTATAAAGCTAGTGAAATCTCTATAGGGTTTCTAAGAAAATAGGGAAGAAGAGAGGGGAAATACATATAACTCGTCAAAGATAGTTGAAGACTCATTCTCATACTCATGAAATATGGATGTTAAATCCATTCTCATATTCAAAATTGGTCTAGAAGAGAATTTTTAACACTTTTAATAAGAAAGCTCTTATAACTTCAAAGAAGAAGGGGAGAAATAGAGAGATAACAAATGATCATCCAATGGATTCTATGAAACAACCACAAATGCTCATTAGGATTAAGTATGGGTTGGATCATATGAACCAAAACACTTGGAGTATGAAAAAGTGTAAGAAAATGCATGAAAGTAAAGAAATTATACTACTTGACAATTCTATAGGGTTGGGTGGCTGAGCCATCTACATCCCAAAGCCAAAACACATGGAAATAAAGAGAATTTAAACTACAATTCTATGGATGGGCGGCCAAGCCCTCCACTTCCTGAAGCTAAAAAGATTACATGGAAATAAAGAAGAGATTACATTACAATTCCTTAGGTGGGTAGCCAAGCCCTCCACAACCCAAGGAAAATCACATGCTAGAGCAACAAATATATAGAAGAATAGAAAGAAGAGAGAAAAGGATGCGAAAGGCTTCAATGCCTACATTTCAAAGCAAGAAAGAGCTTTTGATTACCAAATTTGTTTCTAAACACCCTTAAGGTCCTTGGATATGGCTTGGATACTTGGCAAGAAGTCTCAAGATCAAGCTTGAAAGGTGTTTTGGGTGGTGTGTGTATGAAGATTGAGTTGAGAAGATGAAGAAGCTAGGTGGTGTGATGCACAAGACTCTTGGAGTTTCGTTCTAAGCCTTAGAAATATTTCTTAACCCTTGAAACTAAAGGGGGACGGTTGTAGTTATAGACTTTTGGAGATAAATATCTGAGATATTTGTGTGAAACTTGTGCAAGAATCCAATTTTTCCTAAAATGCTCTATTTCCCGGACAAACCATTCGGCCGACACACTTTTCATCCGGCCAAATTTTCATGTACAAGACAGTGTATGGTCAGACCAAATTTTGTATAGCCATATTGTTTGAAGGGAAAACAAGGTTTTTCCAAAGAATTGTCCTCCTTGCCACTCATGTCTAACACTTCGATAGTTTGGACAAAACAAGTGTAAGGTTGAGATTAACGTTTAAACCCGTTTTTCCTACTAAAGAATTCGTAAGATAGTACATTTTAACATTCATCATCAGGTGTTCAGAAGTAAGCGCCCAAGTCTTAAGGACAGTCAAAATGGTATATTTACACACCCCCCGAGGTTTACTTAAAAGTATGAATTGTCTCATGTGGTCATAAAAATCATATTTTACACTTTGAGATTTTAAATCGCATTACAATTTCCCCTATCTGTTAGTTCATTGTTAGGTCAATTAACGGGTTTTGCTTACATCATCACTAAAAAATTGCAAACTGCCAATTAATAACCCAAACCCAACTTCTATGGAGTCCCAATACAAATAAAGTCTTTTGTATAAGATATATAAGTATTAGTAAAATTATTCGAAAGTGGTTGGGTGTCATGTTTATTTGTCAAATTAAGTTAGATGAGATTATGAGGATCATGAGATCGATTAATGATATTCTTAGTATGATAGTGTCAAATTAGAGATGTAAAATAAATTTTGTGTGTTTATGTACTAATATAATAGTATTATTTGTTTGGGATAAAATCTACAAATTTATGTAAAAAACCTTGAATTATTTTTAAAAATTGTAGGTAAAATGATGTTTTCACCCATAATCTCATGAAATTGGATTGGGTTGGTAAAATGGTATTTACTAATTTCCCTGTTTGAGTGGATTTATAGTCTCATAGTACTGATGCTTTTACAAACAAAATAAGGTTTGCTCTTGAGGAATACAAACATGGCCTAGGTATAGTTCTGTACTTGAGGGTTATACTACAAGACTTTCATTAGAGAATACGTGTTAAAATATTTATAATCCAATACACTTTTCGTATATTTCAATTTTTTTTTATATACTTTGTTTTTCACATAATTTTTAAAATTAACAATAATTCTGTGGATTGTCTTTAGCATTTTCCTTAAATTATATGGTAACACTTGTGTCTTTTTTAAACCATTTAAAAGTACATTTAACTCTTGTATTTTCATTTTTGGAGTTGCTACATCTTGGTTTTGGAGGAGTACAATTCGATTTGGACTCGTTAGGATTGTTCGTTCGTGTTTGGTTGCGTCAGAAAGTGTCACGCCTGAATTTATAAGGTCCGGCCCACGTGAATAAACTATCCAACAATGGGAAGGGACCAAAATAATATAAAAAAAAGAAGTAACAACTCTCATGCAGATAGATATAATAAAATCACACAATACATGTGTTTATTCGATTTTACACACCCTACATTCATTTCTTAGTGGAATGGATGATCCTTAAATAAAACATACAAGAATGTATACATAAAATTGAAGTGCCCGAAAGCATACATCATATACAAAGGGTGTAACCCTTTCATGCTGCTGTTTGCACACCAAAATAAAATGAAAAAACCGGTAGCAACTACTATTACGAAGTATAATGGTTGAGAACGGGTGTCAAACCACAGAGACTAGGGCAAGTTGTTTTAGTTAAAAATTTCGGTTTTGGAAATGAAAATTGAGCAAAAGAAACCTTAGGGTCTAGAATCCACTACTGACCTTATAACTGGGAGTTATTGTATTTAGATTGTAGAAAATCATTGAAATGGATATTATGATGTGTCTTGGTCGGGACACATCACGTAAAAATATTTGTCTTTTAAAATAAAAAAGTCACGAATTATCTTCATTTAGCATGAACCGTCACCACTAAACTAAACTAAACTAAGGTTGATGCACGATCTGTCTTACTAGGTATGACTCGTCTAACAATTTTAATATACAAGTAATGAAAACAATTGTATAACATGTATTCATGACCAGTGAACACATAATTTAATAAAACAATATTTGCACAAAAATCTAAGTTATACAACAGTACCCAAATCAATTAAAAATTTACAAAACTAAATACAAACTACCACAATCACTTGATCAGAGTTTCATCTTAACCCTAAGATATGGAAATTAGTTCCACATACTAATATTCCAACCACTATAAAATATGTACACTCTAAACCTTCCTATTCCTACTCTCACTTTCTTTCTTTCTTTCTTATTTTATTTTTCTCTTTTTCTTTTTCTCTCTTGCAGAGTTTCAACTCCTACTTCCCTCTCTTTTTGTGCTCCTTCCCTTTAGATAAGCTCCTCTTTTATATAGAGGAGCGTACTTGCAAACAAACAAACAAATTATATAATATAATATTATATATATATATATAAAGTTAGAGGCGCG